GGTTCCTGATGTCAGTTTGTAGGGCTTCTCTGGGACTGTCAGGGCAGCACAATTATGAGGTGGGGGCAGCTCCGGTCTGGGACTTATCCTTCAATGTTCGGATTTTTTGCAGTCAGCTGCCGGCTCAGAGCCACAGGACCCTGAGCAAAAACATCGGCTGTTTCCCTGGGAAAGAAAACTCACCAGTCCAGGTTCCTGATGTCAGTTTGTAGGGCTCCTCTGGGACTGTCAGGGCAGCACAAGTATGAGGTGGGGGCAGCTCCGGTCTGGGACTTATGCTTCGATGTTCGGAGTTTTTGCAGTCAGCTTCCGGCTCAGGGTCACAGGACCCTGAGCAAAAACATCGGCTGTTTTCCCTGGGAAAGAAAACTCACCAGTCCAGGTTCCTGATGTCAGTTTGTAGGGCTCCTCTGGGACTGTCAGGGCAGCACAAGTATGAGGTGGAGGCAGCTTCTGTATGGGGCCCATCCTTCGATGTGCGGATTTTCTTCAGTCAGCTCTAAACTCAGGGCCACAGAGCCCTGAGCAGAAACATCGGCTGTTTTCCCTGGGAAAGAAAACTCACCAGTCCAGGTTCCTGATGTCAGTTTGTAGGGCTCCTCTGGGACTGTCAGGGCAGCACAAGTATGAGGTGGAGGCAGCTTCTCTATGGGGCCCATCCTTCGATGTTCGGATTTTTTGCAATCAGCTGCCTGCTCAGTGCCACAGGACCCTGAGCAGAAACATCGGCTGCTTTCCCTGGGAAAGAAAACTCACCAGTCCAGGTTCCTGATGTCAGTTTGTAGGGCTCCTCTGGGACTGCCAGGGCAGCACAAGTATGAGGTGGGGGCAGCTCCTGTATGGGGCCCATCCTTCGATGTTCGGATTTTTTGCAGTCAGCTTGCCGCTCAGGGCCACAGGACCCTGAGCAGAAACATCGGCTGTTTTCCCTGGGAAAGAAAACTCACCAGTCCAGGTTCCTGATGTCAGTATGTAGGGCTCCTCTGGGACTGTCAGGGCAGCACAAGTATTAGGTGGGGGCAGATCCTGTCTGGGACTTATCCTTCGATGTTCGGATTTTTTGCAATCAGCTGCCTGCACAGGGCCACAGCGACCTGAGCAAAAACATCGGCTGTTTTCCCTGGGAAAGAAAACTCACCAGTCCAGGTTCCTGATGTCAGTTTGTAGGGCTCCTCTGGGACTGTCAGGGCAGCACAAGTATGAGGTGGAGGCAGCTTCTCTATGGGGCCCATCCTTCGATGTTCGGATTTTTTGCAATCAGCTGCCTGCTCAGGGCCACAGGACCCTGAGCAAAAACATCGGCTGTTTTCCCTGGGAAAGAAAACTCACCAGTCCAGGTTCCTGATGTCAGTATGTAGGGCTCCTCTGGGACTGTCAGGGCAGCACAAATATGAGGTGGAGGCAGCTTCTGTATGTGGCCCATCCTTCGATGTTCGGATTTTTTGCAATCAGCTTCCTGCTCAGGGCGACAGGACCCTGAGCAAAAACATCAGGTGTTTTCCCTGGGAAAGAAAACTCACCAGTCCAGGATCCTGATGTCAGTTTGTAGAGCTCCTCTGGGACTGTCAGGGCAGCACATGTATGAGGTGGGGGCAGCTCCTGTCTGGGACTTATCCTTCGATGTTCGGATTTTTTGCAGTCAGCTGCCGGCTCAGAGCCACAGGACCCTGAGCAGAAACATCGGCTGTTTTCCCTGGGAAAGAAAACTCACCAGTCCAGGTTCCTGATGTCAGTATGTAGGGCTCCTCTGGGACTGTCAGGGCAGCACAAGTATTAGGTGGGGGCAGCTCCTGTCTGTGACTTATCCTTCGATGTTCGGATTTTTTGCAGTCAGCTTCCCGCTCAGGGCCACAGGGCCCTGAGCAAAAACATCAGGTGTTTTCCCTGGGAAAGAAAACTCACCAGTCCAGGTTCCTGATGTCAGTTTGTAGGGCTCCTCTGGGACTGTCAGGGCAGCACAAATATGAGGTGGAGGCAGCTTCTGTATGGGGCCCATCCTTCGATGTTCGGATTTTTTGCAGTCAGCTGCCTGCTCAGGGCCACAGGACCCTGAACAGAAACATCGGCTGTTTTCCCTGGGAAAGAAAACTCACCAGTCCAGGTTCCTGATGTCAGTTTGTAGGGCTCCTCTGGGACTGTCAGGGCAGCACAAGTATGAGGTGGGGGAAGTTCTTTTCTGGGACTTATCCTTCGATGTTCGGATTTTTTGCAATCAGCTTCGCGCTCAGGGTCACAGGGCCCTGAGCAGAAACATCGGCTGTTTTCCCTGGGAAAGAAAACTCACCAGTCCAGGTTCCTGATGTCAGTATGTAGGGCTCCCCTGGGACTGTCAGGGCAGCACAAGTGTGAGGTGGAGGCACCTTCTCTATGGAGCCCATCCTTCGATGTTCGGATTTTTTGCAATCAGCTGCCTGCTCAGGGCCACAGGACCCTGAGCAGAAACATCGGCTGTTTTCCCTGGGAAAGAAAACTCACCAGTCCAGGATCCTGATGTCAGTTTGTAGGGCTCCTCTGGGACTGTCAGGGCAGCACAAGTATGAGGTGGGGGCAGCTCTGGTCTGGGACACATCCTTCGATATTAGGATTTTTTGCAGTCAGCTGCTGGTTCAGAGCCACAGGGCCCTGAGCACAAACATCGGCTGTTTGCCCTGGGAAAGAAAACTCACCAGTCCAGGTTCCTGATGTCAGTTTGTAGGGCTCCTCTGGGACGGTCAGGGCAGCACAAGTATGACGTGGGGGCAGATCCTGTCTGGGACTTATCCTTCGATATTCGGATTTTTTGCAGTCAGCTTCCCGCTCAGGGCCACAGGACCCTGAGCACAAACATCGGCTGTTTTCCCTGGGAAAGAAAACTCACCAGTCCAGGTTCCTGATGTCAGTTTGTAGGGCTCCTCTGGGACTGTCAGGGCAGCACAAATATGAGGTGGAGGCAGCTTCTGTATGGGGCCCATCCTTCGATGTTCGGATTTTTTGCAGTCAGCTTCCCGCTCAGGGCCACAGGGCCCTGAGAAGAAACATCGGCTGTTTTCTCTGGGAAAGAAAACTCACCAGTCCAGGTTCCTGATGTCAGTTTTTAGGGCTCCTCTGGGACTGTCAGTGCAGCACAAGTATGACGGAGGGGCAGATCCTGTCTGGGATTTATCCTTCGATGTTCGGATATTTTGCAGTCAGCTTCCCGCTCAGGGCCACAGGACCCTGAGCAAAAACATCGGCTGTTTTCCCTGGGAAAGAAAACTCACCAGTCCAGGTTCCTGATGTCAGTTTGTAGGGCTCCTCTGGGACTGCCAGGGCAGCACAAGTATGAGGTGGGGGCAGCTCTTGTGTGGGACACATCCTTCGATGTTCGGATATTTTGCAGTCAGCTGCCGGCTCAGAGCCACAGGGCCCTGAGCAAAAACATCGGCTGTTTTCCCTGGGAAAGAAAACTCACAAGTCCAGGTTCCTGATGTCAGTATGTAGGGCTCCTCTGGGACTGTCAGGGCAGCACAAGTATGAGGTGGGGGCAGCTTCTGTATGGGACTTATCCTCCGATGTTCGGATTTTTTGCAGTCAGCTTCCCGCTCAGGGCCACAGGACCCTGAGCAAAAACATCGGCTGTTTTCCCAGGGAAAGAAAACTCACCAGTCCAGGTTCCTGATGTCAGATTGTAGGGCTCCTCTGGGACTGTCAGGGCAGCACAAGTATGAGGTGGGGGCAGCTCCGGTCTGGGACTTATCCTTTGATATTTGGATTTTTTGAAGTAAGCTGCCTGCTCAGGGCCACAGGACCCTGAGCAAAAACATCGGCTGTTTTCCCTGGGGAAGAAAACTCACCAGTCCAGGTTCCTGATGTCAGTTTGTAGGGCTTCCCTGGGACTGTTAGGGCAGCACAAGTATTAGGTGGGGGCAGATCCTGTCTGGGACTTATCCTTCGATGTTCGGATTTGCAGTCA